AAAAAGAGAAAAAGATTGGTAAATCTCGATAGGGAGGAAAATCGACAAGAAACCTGAAATCAAGAAAGAATTCAACACCAACGCCCTTATTGGCCGTCAGCTCGATGAGGTCGGGGTTTTGCCAGAGAACGGGTTTGGTTGCTCGATTCGGGTCGGATTTACCGCCCGTCGTTGCTCTGCTTGCTGATATGGACACTCTCCCCTTCCAGGTCTGTCTTTTGACTCTTTTGCATATTGGGATGATTTTTTTCTACTACTATGTCGAACATTGGTATATTGTATTTTTATTAGATTCCTTCGGATGGCAGATGACTGATTTGTTATTATTTATTTATTAATTTATTTATTTTTGTGTGTGTGTGTGTGTGTGTGTGTGTGTGTGTGTGTGTTGTACATATGATGAAGATGGTGTTTGTTTTGGTGTCAACTTAGCTTCTTGGTTCAGCTAAATTGCTCAGTGAAAGAAAGGGCATTACTTAAGTTTAGTTTTGCTGCGTTGTTGCTTTTATGCTGTTGCTTTTGGTTTGTTTGCTCGTGTTTTCTGGGTTCTTGAATTCGACTTTGAGTTCTCGGTATATCAAATTAGTATAGATTCAAAGGAAAAAAAAATAAATAAAAAATTTCTAATTTCAAAATTCTCGGCCCAATGCCGGTGGCCAGAAAAAGAGGATGATGGATTTGTAAACGACAGATTAATACTTAATAGTCAGAGTTTACTGATCGAACGAAACCTACGTTTACTATATGTTTACCGTCGATCCATTTCTTGTTTATTTTGAGTAAGCATTGTTTTTACAGATGCCGGAGTGAAGTAGTTCTGCATTGAACTGGTTTTCTTCATGATATTCAATCAAATACGACTTTTCTTTCACGATTCCACAAAGGTTGTGTAGGAACACAATTCATGTGGGTATTTTGTCTAATATATATGTCAATAGAAACAGATATAAACAAGAATTCACGGTTATAATCTTTATGTTTCGATTTTACTTTCTCGTTTTGATTATTCATAATGTCCCTGCAGGTTGTTCCTTGTATTTCCTTTTTTTTTGTCAGCTATTGGGATTCTTTCAGGAGATCAACCTAAAACCTCGTTTTTGTTGCATACGTTTATCGGTTTTCTAATAGAGTTTGAATTCTTGAAAATAAAAACACAAAGCACAAGTCGACATGAACGACGATCATTTCCCTCCGTATTCAGCGACTGGTAAACGACGATAAGCTGCACAGGCACGTGTGGACAGCTGGTAGCCTCATATTGGACAAGGGAACATGAGTGACCTGCAAAGTTTATTCCCGGGGATTATGTTCAGTATTTGGATTAGAAACGAGCAAATCTGGGCCGTCCATCCTCACGTCACCACTCGCCGTACTTTTTTCTTGACGAAAATGCCCCTTTGAAAGGAGCCGTCCGGGCATTGAAGCGGATGTTAATTTAGTTGGATGTTCCTTTCTTCTTCTTTCAATTTTTTCCCCTTTAATCAGAAAAAAGGTGCTTTGGGTGTTTTTGAAGTTATAATTTTTTTTCCATGCATTCTGCTGGTTAGATTAAGTGACTTTTTATTTTTATTTTTTTCTCTTACTTTTATATGCACAGAGAACTTGATGTTCATGAGAAGACATTATCTTGTGAAATACTCATTATGTGATGCCAGAAATACATGGAGATCCATGCTTTCTCCTTAACATTCAATGCACTTATAACTTACAATTCATGTACAAATGCATTTTTTTTTTTCCTTTGATTTTGTCTCCCATAATATATATTAATATATAGTGCATTATTTTATATTTTACCCGAATATTCATGGCATTAGACCACTTATTTTTTACTAATTAAAAAAATAAAAGAACAAATCAAGGGGTTTTTTCAGTACAAGATCTGAAAGATGGGTAAACTATCAAATCGGGGTCTGAAAGATTTGTTTTCTCTATTCGGGACTTAAATGTTATAAAACTATCAAATTAAGTCCTAAAATTAACAAAACTCATAACATCATTAAATTGAGTGTTTAAAAAAAAAGACAAGATTGGTGTTTACTCACACAAAATAATAAGTAAATATTTGTATAATATTTAAAAAAAAAAAAAGAAACAGACGACAACAAGAAAACGAAGCAAGAGATTCATAGTTTCCTTAATTTTCTCCAACAATTTCGTATTTTCCTTAATTTGTTCTTTTTCCTTTTTTTTTATTTTTTTTTCTTTTTTTTTTTTACTTTTTAACATATTTATTGTTTTAAAACTATAAATTAACTATCAATTTATGGTGTTATGAGTTTTGTTAATTTTAGAACTTAATTTGATAATTTTATAACATTTAATTCTTGAATTAAAAAAAAATATTTTGGGCCCCGATTTTATAGTTTACATATGTATTAAAAAAAACTCTCAAAATGTAATATACGATGTAAGTGCCTATGGCAAACCATGTTGTGTGGGGTTTTCACAACAATAAATTCACTTTTGAAGACATACACTTTGTACCTTTTGTCCAAAAGTTTACATTCCCAGCTGGAAAAGCAAGCCAATTAGGCCTGGTTCCAATTTCCATTCAATTAAGATATACCAAAAAGACAAGAATATTATAGTAGGGTTTATTCATTTAAGATTCTAAAGATTTGGTGGGACTTTTTTTTTTTTCTTTTGTGAATTAAATTAGATTTTTGAAGTCTTTTAAAAATTAAAAGTCTTGAGTTATTCATTTGATATTTTAAATTTAGACTCTTAACAAATCAGAAGACATTTTAACTTCTTTAAATAAAATCCTTATAAGAAAACTCACTCAAAATCCCACATCAGACTTATTTCTAAGGATTCTTTTTAAAACTCAAAATCTTAAAAAAAACTCGAAAGTCTGTGTCTTTAAAATGTCTCTTGAAATTCCGAACTGCAAATATAACTACGAGAGAGTCAATCTGTTTTATCATGCTCGTTTATCAACCGACCTATTAATTATATGTTGATAAAATTTGAATTGCTGATTTGGTTAATATTATAGTGATAATGCTAATATAAAATGACTCAAAGTTTTTCTTTTAATCATTCAATCTTCAAATCAATTTGTTAATGTAGAATGACTCAAAGTTTTTGACATGCCAACTGCCAAACTAACTGATACTACCTCCTTTTTAAAATATGTATCGTTTTGACTTTTTTGATTCATCCATTTTATTATGTGTCTAGATATATTTATGTCTACATACATAGCAAAATGGATGAATCAAAAAAGTCAAAACGACACTTATTTTGAAAAGGAGGGAGTATCAATTTTCACATTGACCAACAGTTGGAAAATCATAAAAATGTTGTAATAAATGAAGTGAAAGAACACACAACCACAACAAGAAATAAATAAATAAGTAAAAAAAGAAGGGCGGTTAAGCTATAATTTTGCTTTTTTTAGAACAAGACAGATCTAAAGCTATATGTTCCTAATAAAGAAGTGCTGCTTAACCAGCTTTTCTTTTAAAGAAAGATGCCACCTTAATTAAATTCCCTTCCCCACAAGAATCTCTAATCAAATCTTAACCAAACATTATAATAAATTCAATAAAACTTCGTTAGCGAATGGGGTCAACTCAATAAAACAGTCTCGCTCACCTGCCTATGATGGGCAGTGCCCAATAGTTTGTTTTATATGAAAAACGTATTCTCAGAATACGTTTTTCAATTAAATTTAATTGAAAAACGTATTCTCAGAATACGTTTTTCATATAAAACAAACTAGTGGACACTGCCCACCGTGGGCAGGAGAATATATTTACTCAATAAAAATAGGGATTTTCTTAATAAACTCGGATTTGTTGGAAAATTTCGTGGTTACATATGAGGGCAGTGCCTCCATCGAGCCATCGGATCACCACTTCAAATTTTACCCAATTCATTAAAAAAAAAAAATCAAAATTTGAATTTAACTCGACTTTAATTCAACTACATTGTCTTAGTGCTTCAATATTATCAATATAATTAAATAATATCAATCAATAATTCTTAAATATCACAACAATTTTAGTTCACTATTTATATACTCAACGTAATTTTAACTGATTATCATTTCACATCATCTCTCTCA